GATCTGTGACGTGTTTGGAGTTGAGGGAGAAGTCGAGCACCACGGTGGCTGCATGTGGTGTATGTTTCCAATCTAGCCATGACGATGCGTCGCCATGGAACTCACCTTTGGGTAAGGCTTTCGATGCAATGTCTTTCCAACGATATCTGATGGATATTCTCAGACAAGCATGGAGGTGCCGCTCCTGCCGCTCCTGCCCCAGCTCCTGCCCCAGCTCGTGCTCCTCCTCCTCCTGCTCGTGCTCCTCCTTCTGCTCGTGCTCCTCCTCCTGCTCGTGCTCCTCCTCCTCCTGCTCCCCACACTCACACTCCTGCTCCTGCCCACACTCCTCATGCTCCCACCCCAGCCTCTGCATCCACACCCACTGCCAGTCACACTGCCCCAGTCCCCCTTGCAAAAACATCGACTTCCCTGAACGTCAACTCCGCCTTGCAGCATAAGAAGTCGGTTCATCTGCTGAACATTCCCCCCACACTGCTCAAGATCCTCCCACAACTGAAGCGGCATTGTTTGACATGTCTCACGATCGGAAAGCGTTCCACAGATCATGAGTCACACAAGTGTGCCTATTGGATCAGGGTGAAGTTGAATGGACAGCAAGCATTTGCATGGAAGAAGCAGTACTTTTGCAACCAGGGTGACAGGGGTTACTGCTACAAATGCCTCCTCAACCCAGATTTCGCTCCACTGCACGATGCAGCCCAGGCATGCCTGTACGAGGGGATAGCGTTCGAGATCATGTGGCTGATCCTCGAGAACGATGCCATGATCCAAGGACTGGCAGAGTACATGCATGATGATAGGTTACTGGATCAGGAATACCTGATCCAGTGGTTCAAACAGCCATACGATGGACAGAACCGGAAGTGGAGGAACGGTGCCACTCATGTGATTATGTGGTTTTTCCACAAATTCCTGTCTTAGTTGCCTCCCCAACTTTCATGTATTTTTAGTCAGAAGATCAATGGATCGTTTCCCCCCCATCAGCGGTTCTCGTAAGACTATGAGGCATCATCCTGATCCGACTCTGGCCCTTTGATCCGAGTGTTTCCTTATTCTTTGTTTCGTTCCTTTGATCCTGTCTCTCCCGATCGATCGGTGAGGGTTGGAACCTCACTTTGTCTATGTTTTTGGGCGATATCCGATGATGAGCGATCCCTGACAGTCCCTGACAGCGCTGCCAGAAGATAACAAACTAACAATGTATGGTGATCCCCGTTCCTCTCTGTGGAACGTCCATGGAAAGTCAGTTCGTCCCCTTGCCCCATTTCCCCATTTTTTTTTTCCCTTATTTTTCCACTTGTCATTTGAGGAGCCACACGAAAACTCACGTGGGCAAAAACACACAAGCACCAGTGAAACCAGTGAAACCAGTGAAAGGTTACAGCCAGGCCCTCAACCCAACCCTCTGTCTTGTGCACTGCCACCATCAAGATAAATTTTTCTTGATCAGGTGATTTGAAACACATCATGGCACATGACCAAGCCACTCTGGTATAAAACCCTGTCCTCTCCCCACTTTTATCTCCCCCCACTCACACAACATGGCCACTCCAACCCCACTGAACACCTTCCAGCTTGGGCAAGTCGCACAAGTGTCCATGCCTGTGAACATGGAGATGAACGAATTCGATGCAATCAAGGGGGCTGCATTGAGAGGAACTGCAAAAGTAGGTCCATATCTCATCAGTGGCCACACATATCACATCTCATATGATGGCAGATTCGGCTCTCACAGATGAAGCAGCACCCACTCAACAGGGAGATAAACTGGCAGTGGGTTCAGAGACATGTGGAAGCATGGGGCTCACACATCTTGAACCACACGGAATTGTTCGCCATGAGCGTGCTTCTCCCCCATGGCGCAGCCTTTGAGATCGATAAGGATGGGTTCTTGCGTGGGGATGTGTCGATCATCCATGGGCAACATCGTAAGACCGTGATGGAGGTGACGATCGCACGTCATCTCCAACTCCTGCGACACGATGAGAGGGAGTTTGCAGGCGATCTCTCCAGTCTGTCCCTATTGGAGATGAAACAAGTGCATGCTGCAAAGGGAGCATGGTGGTTGGCCAGGGTTTACGATGACAGCAAGTCATCTTTTCTTCCCGAGATGTGGGCGCTGACATGGATGGCAGGCGTCATGGCGAACACCATCATGTTCCGTTCCTGGATGCTCGAGGATAACCTGCAACTGGAGAAGGCCCCACTCAAGTGGGTGGATCTCATACCGCTCGTCCTCGAGGCCCTCCACCGCAAACCACGTCCCTCTGTGGATGCCATGTCGACGTTTACAGCACGATTCAACAGCAACAAACAGCTATCGAACATCAAACCATGCCTCAAGTCGTCGTCGCTGCGGAACATCTTTGTGGTCCTGGAGAGGATACCTTGGTTCCGAGATGAAAAGCGTCAAACAGCGTTCAGCAACTGGCATGCACGTGGAATGCACAACGTGAGAGTGCAACTCCCCTCTCTCTCCCCCCTACTGACATCGTCATGCAAGTTCTACGCAGCGGCAGCGGAGATATGTCTCTGGCAGCTGATCCCCATTGCGGTGGGAGATCCAGAACGGACGCCTTGGCAGCTTGGTTCGTGGGCGAACATCACCGTCAAGAGGCTGAAGACCAAGGGATCTACGGTCGTGGTGACGTGGGACGAGGTGGAAAGGAGGACGGATCTCGTCACGGAGACATGTCCTCTAGACATCGTCTTGAGCGGTGCGGTCGTGCCCAAGCCCTTTCGAGGCAACCTGCTAGAGCCCACACCGAAACGTGGAGAGCCATGGGCGTTCTTCAAAGACATGGTGAGCAGAATGATCCTATTGGGCGATATCGACTGACAAGCCTGACACAGTGGGTCAGTCCGGAATCGCTGATGAATTCTGGATCTGCAGTGGTCAAGCAGCTCAGGATCTTTGGAGGCATGTTGGAGTTGGCGAGTCATGGTTCTCTGTATCATTTTCTTCTTTGCACTGACACCACCACCACAGGTCGCAGTGGCATTGGAGGGTCCAGGGGAGGAGAGTGTCAGGAAGCTGCATGGACATGGTGGCCAGAGAGGGAACCATGACAATTACTTCCCAGAGAACACCAAGGACATTTTCTGGGACGAGCAGATCAAGTACCTATGCGAAAGGTACAAGAAAGATGGCAGGGTCGTGCAAGGAGACAAGGTAACATATGCACACACAGACGCTCGCTCGCTCGCTCACACATCTCACAGCTGTTGGGGCACATCGTGCTTCACTACCATAAGCTTGTGGACAAACGTTGGGAGAAGTTGTTTTCGAACGATGCATCGATAGAACAGGTGCAATGGCTGGTGCAGGAGGCGGATGCATGGTACACGATGTTTTACGACTTCTTTGTGCCATCGACTCAGCGTGGGGGGGGATTTCGATTTGCGAGTGGGTTGACGCTTCCTCAAGTCTCTCCACAATGGCAGATGGCCATGGAAATGGCCAGAAAAGACCTCGAGGCCACGACGTCCAGCATCGATCACCTCGACAAGGCGATGAGGAGTACCGAGAAAGAGGCAGTTCGGATCGACAAGAGGAGGGTGGAGGTGATAGAGACCATGGAGGCCGAAAAGGAACGGCATATCGGGATGTTGGCAGTGCAAGCAACAGAGCTGGAAGCGCTGGAGATGCGACAACAGCAGGAGCAGGTAAAGATGGATCGATTGCAGAGGTCACAACAGGAGGCACCTCGCCAGGATCCTTCCGATCGTCACCAGCATCCTTCCGATCGTGAGGGCCAGCCAATGCCTCCCACCCAGCTGATGCATCCCCATGAGGGCCAGATTCCCCATGATCCCCACAAGTTCCAGAACGATGTGATCGGTGCATTGGAGCCCGTGTTTGGAGATCACTTTGATGCCGTCGCAAGTGCACACATGACAAGGTACGTGAGGGCCATGTTCTCAGACGAGACACATGTGAGGCGGATCGCATCGGGAGAGGCTACCTGGGGTGGAGAGCAGGAGGGGGAGGAGGAGGAGGAGGATTATCCTGGGTTGTTCCAACGCAGCATGAAGATGGTGCAGAGGCACTATGATGACGAGTCAGTGTCATCTCGGAGCTCCAAGAGGGCAAGGTTGGGAAAGTCGGCGACATACACCCCTTCACCACTGGGATCGCAGAGGACATCCCCATTGGGATCACGGAGGGCATCCCCATCGCTGAGAGTGGATACCCTTCCTGTCCCTCGTGTGCTGGTGCCCCGGACACCCTCACCCATAGGAAGGAGTGACAGGATGCTGCAGATCGCATTGGGCATCGGAGAACCACAAAGGACCCAGGAAGATGAGGACGATATGGACCTTTACTCGTGATCTTCCCTCCTACATGATTGCTTGTGCACATCGGCCTTTTGTATCTCCTTCTAATTCTCTGGGATGAATTATTTTCGTTTGGTTTCTAAGATATAATGGTCTGTTCGCTCCAATACCGACATCTTACCTCAGTATAACCCTTGGGATGGAAGGAAACCATTCTGGCCGACTCCCCGAAAACTCAGGGAAGAAGAGGGCTAGCCAACGTTTTGGCAACGAATCCAACTACTCAACGGAACGATTTTTCCTTTGCCAATCAAGCCTCTCGTTGCACCCCCAGAGTGCAAAGACTCCAAGGGGGAATCTATATCAAACAGCTTCATCGTGTCAAGGAAAAGTTCTGGAACAAATGGCTTTGGGTAAGCCTCCACTGGTGGTAAGGTTCAGATGCCATTGGGTTGGTCCATGCACAGGGAAACTCGATAACAATTTCCTAAAATTCCAAGACTTCCTTGCAACGGAACTTTTCTGAGGCTGGCTCAAACCGAGGTATTCATGTGGTCCCATGACATGCATATTGGGATGAGTGCATGGGCAAGAGGGTTCCAATTCTCAACCGATTCGATGCATTCATTCATTCCTCTCCCCTTAACGATGTGCAAGGGCCCATGTATTTATTGTGAAGAATTGGAGGTTCATTATGTACAGAGGTGATGGCAACAGGCTCAGGATGGAAGCCCAATGAAGCTAGGAATCATCGGATGCCTCTCTCTGGGGGCTGTACTTGTCCTCATCGGCCTCAGCTCCACTCGAAAACCCATTGCCTCCAGTTTTCCTGCAGATCCAGCATCGACCCAGTCGAACACACAGACCATATCCTCCAGCAATGGGAGGCAAAGAGATCGCTGCTCCTTCCACTTTTCCAAATTGTGGTTCATGAGGACTCTAACCGACTCGTCACCACTCCAATCGTCCATGTCCAGCCTCAATGCTTCCAAGCTCCCTGGAAGAACGCTGAACAGGTCGACTTGTCCACCCTGAGAATCCTGCAAGAACGAACAAGGGATCCCAAGGGATCTCAAGGATGTGAAGTCCGAAAGGGGGAGAGGTTCCCAGCTCGTCGATGATAGCCGTGTCTGCCATGGCACGGAGATCAGCAGCTTCTTCAAAGTCTTGGAGTGCCATCCAAGCATCCGGAGCGCTCCCTCTTCCATCTCCTCATCCTCCCACACAAACTCCTCGAGTGACCGAGCCATCCCGACGACGTCAACGACACCCCTTGCATCCCCATAAACATCCCTTTCAGGATGGCCATAGACACGAAGGGTGAGGTTTTTGAACGAGAACTGCTTCCTATGATTTCGCCTCCAATGCCAGTCCTCCACGATGAACCCACACAGCGAGATGGTAGAGAGGTTTGGGAGACGAACGAAAGGCATGATGTCGTCCATCCTGAACCCATCCCAGAAGAGGGAGATTTCCCTCAGAGAACGAAGGCCTGCAGGGATCCTTTGGCCGACCCATTTGGTCAGATCTCCTGGCCCATGCCAGACATAAGGGGATTCTGGGATGCGAACGCATAGGACCCTCAAGTTGGGGACCAAATGGAGCATCAACGCAAAGTATGCATGGCACGACCCAGCGATGGCGAGAGGGTCTACACCCATCTCTTCCCCAGCTCGTTGGATGGAGTCGACTTCCTCTGGATCGACTGTGGGCTGACCCCAATGGTCCCACTCTATCTCTGCCCTGTGGACCAACGTGCCCAGATCTGGTCGAACGACGAGGGTACGAACGAATCGATGAAGATTACCGATGGAAATGGACTTGTAGATGTGTGGCTGAACAGTGGCATGGAGACATTGGGAGACCTGGGAAAGTGCGATGAGGGTCTGGAGCATGCCAGTGCAATGCTCTGCGATTTCATAAAGAGTTTCGTTTGGAAGGGCATTCATCCTATGGGCAGCCTGTGTCAGCGATGGACTCCCTCAAAGGGGTCCCAAACTCACGTGTAGAGGGAGTGAAGAGGAAGTGGTAAAGAGGAAACAGAGGCAGTGGATCCCCTCCTTTATATACCTTTTGGATCTGCAAATCAGGTGATCAAGTAAATATTTTCTTGATCATGTGGCACCAAGTGAGGGGATATGTAAGCAGGAACCCCACTCGTTAACCTAACCACATGTAAAATCCCCTGCAAACTCCTATCCCTGGTGAGAGAGGCACCTTGAGTCCGATGTAACGATTTTTTTCCATTTTCTCCATCATTTATTCATCGATGCCATGTGTGTTGATGTGTGACATCCAACTTGACCACATGATCAAGAAAAATTTATCTTGATCATGTGCTCATGAAAAATTTATCTTGATGGCATTATGCACTGCCTTGACCACATGATCAAGAAAAATTTATCTTGACCATGTGATCAAGAAAAATTTATCTTGATGCATAAGGTGGGAGCACTGCCACGTTTCCTTCAATATGAGTTGCCACCTTTCATAGGGAATCACATCACAGAATCACATCACAGAATCACATCACAGAATCACATCACAGAATCACATCACAAAATCACATCACAGAATCACCATCACAGAATCACATCACAGAATCACCATCACAGTCACAGAATCATCATCACAGTCACATCTAATAATGGTATATAAGACCCACTTGCCCATTATTTTTCCTCCAGTTATGGCTTCCACCTCCAACCCTTCCACCTCCAACCCTTCCACCTCCAACCCTTCCACCTCCAACACTTCCACCTCCAACCCCTCTAACCCTTCCACCTCCAACACCAACCCCATGTCCCAGGCTGAGTATGATGCATTGAAGCATGCATCATTCAAAGGGTTTGCAAAGGCATGTCAAGTTTTTTCCCTTTTTTTTTGTTTCTCTTCCAACCCTTCCAACTCTCATAGGTCCCATTGTCCAGAATGGACCTCCTGCCACACAACCGTGAGGTCAGCTGGCATTGGGTGGCAGAGCACCACCGCTCCTGGGGCCACATGGTGACAAAGGACATCGAGCAGTACGCCATGGCTGGGCTCCTGCCCACAGACGAGTCGATCGAGGTGGATTCAAACGGGTTCTTGGCTGGAGACAAACCGATCCAGATCATCCATGGGCAGCACCGCAAGGCTGTGCTGCAAGTGGTGATCGCCGTGGAGCTTGGGCATATCCAGGGCCTTCCGGTCAAGGAGCACGAATGCCAGGGTCTGTCAGCCACCCAGATCCAATCGATCCATGCGTCCTCCAATGCATGGTGGTTGGTGGCGTTATACGGAAAGAGTAAGTATATCTACTATGCATTGCATTCGCTAACCACATGATTGCAGAGGTCTCTGAGGACGGGATCATGTTTCGATCCTGGTTGTTGGAGGATAACCTTCAACAGGCCAAAGCGCCTCTGACATGGGCGGACTTCATGCCCGTGGTGCTGGACGTACTCGAACAGGACCCGCCCCCAACCCCAGATGCGATGAGGAGCTTCACGGCTCGGTTCCACAGCGACAAACAGCTGTCTGCGATCAAACCGTGCCTGAAGTCTGGCGCCCTGAGGCGGATGTTCAGAATCCTGCACCGGATACCTTGGTTCCGTGCAGAACACAGGGGAATAGCGTTCAAGCCTTGGCACAACCAAGGAATGCACAACGTGAGCGATGATGATCTCTATGATATCTTCTGCTCACCGCTTTGTGGATAGTTCTTTGCAGCTGCCACAGAAATCTGTCTGTGGCAGTTGATTCCGATGGTGACCCGTGGTGAGAGAAGGTCCCAGTGGACGCCATCGAACGTCCCTCAGGAGTGGTGGGGAGAGATGACAAAGGAGAGGCTGGTTGCAAAGGGATCCAGCACGGTGGCATGGGTCGACCTTTGCCAACGAACGAAGCTTGCAACGGGGACGTGTCCATGGGAGAGGGTGGAGGAGGCGAGGTACGTGCCAGCAGGGTTCGCTGGGAACCTGCTGGAGCCACGTCCGATCGTTGGAGAAGGATGGAGCTTCTTCAGGTTGATGGTGAGTTTGTCGTTGCATCAAAATATGACATGATGACGATGATGAGAACAGTGGGTGAGCCCAGAGTCGCTGATCCACAGTGGGTCGATGGTTTTGGACCAGTTGAGGATGCTGGAAAGGATGTTCCAGATGGTATGTGTGACATTGGTTTGGGATTCACAGGATCATCATATATGATAGGTGGCGGCTACCCTGGAGACGAGAGAGGAGGAGAGCAGTGCAAAGAAGTTGCGAGGGCATGGAGGGTCGAGGGGAGAGTACAACTACTTCCCAAGCGACCCACATGAATTGTTTTGGGAGGAAAGACTGAGGTACCTGTGTCAAAGGTACCGAAAGGATGAGGTGCAAGTGGACGGTAACAAGGTATGATGGTCGCTGTGTGGATGTGCATGAATTTTAATAGTTTAATAATTTACAGTTGGTGGAAGAGATCGTCGTGCGGTTCGATGGGCTCCAAAAGGGAGTCAAGAGCACATGGCTTGGAGCGGACCCAGATTGGAAGGCAGTATCGATCACAGCCTTTCGTGAAGAGGATGCGTGGTACGAGCTGTTTTGGGATACCTTTGTGCCAAGAGGGCACAAAGGAGAGTTTGGATTTCAGAGTGGGATACGACTGCCACAACGCTCTCCAGCGGCGATGGAGCGGAGACGGATCACACAGGGGAAGCAGAGGGAGACGCTTGAGGATGCGCAGAAAGGTCTGAAGGAGATTGCGAGCAGCATCCACGAGGTGGACCGGCTGGTGACTGGGATGGAGGATGCAGTGGCGGAAGGGAGGAAGGAGAGGGAACGACTGGCTGCAGAGGAGGGTTCGAAACAAGCGAAGATCGATGCAGAGATCGAACGGTTGAACGAACTGATGGAGAAGAGGCGGGTGGAGGGGGAAAGAGTGAGGGAGATGCAGAAGAAGATGCAGCAGGGTCTTGGGGATGAGGGGGAGGAGGAAGAGGTGGTGGGTGGATCGTCGTCCATGGGAGGTAAGTGTGGATATCGTCATCGTATTACATATGGTGATGAATCGTGGATGGTAGGGGGAGGGCACCCGATGGGACATGGACCTCTGCGAGCTCAGCTCAAGGAGAACCATCATGGAGAGCTTCAAGATGCAGTGAGGGAAGCACTGCATCGGGTGTACCACGACCACCTGGAACCTGGAGAGGCTGAGCGACTGCTGAGATTCCAGATGGATCTGCATGGACACGGTTGGGTGCTGAGGCAGTTGATGGTGGGGGAGATGACGTTCCAAGGGCGAGAAGGAGGGGATGTGGACATGTTGGTGGATGGGGCGCTGGAGCGCTCAGGAAGGTTCCTGGGGGGACCCCACATCCAAAGGGGAACGGGAGGAGGAGGGGGGAGGAGGGGGAGGAAGCGACAGGAACGGGAGGAGGAGACGGAGGACGAGTTGGAAGCGATGCTGGGAGGGGGGTCAGGTGCGCCGAAAAGACCAAGGAGGATTCCAGTGTGGGAAGGGGATTCAGAGGAGGAGGGAACGAGAGGGATGGAACCGATCGTGGACCTGTCATGGCAGCCTGCAAGGGGGGGGCGAGGAGAAGTGCCTGGGATGTCACAAAGAAGCAAACGAGTGGATGAGGGAGCACAGGAAGTGCCTGGGACGTCGCCAGGGTCGGAGCTGGAGAAACTACTGTCGGGAGCGCTGGAAGTGCCTGGGATGTCGCCAGGGTGGGAGCTGGATGAAGTGCTGGACGCCGAGGGGCTGATCAGAATGGAGGATGAGCGAGACTCGATGATGGACATGATGGAGACGCAAGAGGGACGAGGGGAGTATGAAACTCCATTCCTGGGCAGTGGATGGAGAACGCCGCTGGAGGAGGCGTTCCCTCTGGTGGATGAGATGCGAGGGGGGGGGATGGAGACTGGAGGAGGGATGGAGGAGGCTGGGGACGAGATGGCGGAGGGAGTCGAGGGGATGGAGATGTTGGACATGATGATGGAGTTGTAGCAGTATACATTGCATGGATGGACATGACTCTGTCATAATTTTTGTATTTTCAGGGGATGAAGTATGGATACGTCAGGAAACAGTGGGGGGGGGGATCAAAGTGGAGGGAGGGACTTTGATTTACCGAATGGAGTTAGTCAGTGATCGCTTCCAATGAGTCTCTGATGGTGCACTGTGCATATGAATACAATGACTGTAAAGTGGTTAAGAGCGAGATGGAGAGAAAAGAAAATATTTAACAACGAGAAAAGCCCCAATCCCTATGAAATACATATCCCAGACCGGCAATGTCGATGACAAAGCTCAGGTGGTACCAGGGCATGCATCGTGCCGACCTCAAGCTGACCAAGAGTGCCCGATTGCCAAGCGTGGCCTAGGCAATTGGGTTAAAACGGGTAGTTCTGCGAGAACCAGGACAGTTCCTGAGAGCATCCACACAGCCTACACACCGTAGACTGGGTATCCCACAAGAACATCCATCCTAAATATGAAACCTGACAAAAAGAATCAACGGAATCGAGAAAATAAAGCAAAACAAAATAAAAGCATGCACGAATGCAAACAAAAAACTCCTAAGCTCGACAACCAACGAATACTGGTGTGGCTGGGGAAAGGAACGCCAACCCTGTGACTCCATAACTGAACTAAAAATACCTGAATCCGATCCCCTGGAATACACGTCTAGAGGAAATGTCGGACATCGCAGACAGGCACTACGATGCAGTCCAATACAGGGACCTAACAAACTGACAGGAAATGAGAGAACCCCTCATAATGAACTGCCTCAACAACATCCAAAACCGAACACTGCCCCACATATCCAACAAACTATAACTAGACATAAGATGGAAAGATAAGGAAAATGAAAACCAGAGTCTGAACATCATGACGACCCTCCTCGCGACCGACATCGAAAGAAAGGGCACAACCTGCGCCCAAATATCAGAAGGCTGGCTCTGCACCCTCTACGAAAAGAAAGACAAGAGGGAAATAGAAAACTACAGACCGGTGATTGGTACTCGAGGCAGAATACAAGATCATAATCGCCCTAGACCAAGAAAAAGCTTATGACAGGATCTGGGACGACTACCTCTGGAGAGTGATGGACACGATGGGCATACCCGATGCTTTTTTTTATCAAGAACCTCTAGGCTAGTGCCAAAACCAAAGTGATCCTTAACAGCGACATAAGCGAAAACTTGCTAATCACTAGAGGAGTCAGTCAAGGAGACGCTCTATCATTGTCAGCTGTTTAACATTGAACCACTCTGGATAGTGAAACCCCAACCCTAAAAGGGCTTGATGCAGAGAATCATGCTCTCCCTCTTTGCAGACGACGCTGGGGTATTCCTCTCCAAGGACGAGGATATCAACGACCTATTTCACCACCCTGGATGATCGGTGCATCGCGTTGTTGTGGGGACGACTGTGTGTACCGCAAAAAGTTGGATTCTGCAGAATTTGGTCACCGACAGGCAGTACATATCCGCTGAGGCTCCCGATACTCTCCATACACTCACACCCTATTTTACCATATATTTTCGCCATCATTCCCAACAACCCCAAGGAAAATTCCGATGCGCAACCATGCTGCGGATTTCACCACCTCTCTCCAGACCTCCATACCCAGACTCACAACCCAGCGGTTTTTTGCATGGGATAGGGATGCTCTACCACCCTTGTTCACCCCCGGAGCATTTCCCAGAATGGGAAACCCATACCGGGATGGTTCAGGACGGAGTATACTCTCAGGTGGTCTTGAGAGCACGTGTGAATGGCCAGATCTCAAGAAGTACCAGCACCAAATGGGACGAATAGGGGCTGGTTGGAAAGCTGGAGACGAGGAGGATGCTGATGGGAGGATAGGCGGGGGCTGTGGGGAAGTGTTGGGGAGTTAATTTTCAGAATTCCGATTTTGGACCCAACACATTTTCCGGATTCATTGATTTCATTGTTTGTTTGTTCCCAATTGGATATTCATCATCATTTAGGGTTGCCTAAGGGCTGGTTTGCATTCCCCCATGCGATTCATTCCATTTCAAACATATATAATATCAGCTTGTACGTGAGTGCTGAATAGACCTGTGAAGGGACAAGCAGAAGTTGCATCCAAGTGGCAAAGACATCATGATCGAGGACGCTAAGGCCCCCTCTGAGGGTGACGTCTAAGACGGGTCACATCATAACACTCAGCCTTGAGGTGCAATGTAGGTGAGGCCCATGGAGTGGTGGAGGATTGGAAGTTCAGGAAGGCTTATGACATGACCCTCAACCAGCTGATGCAGCTTCAGAGCTGTGTACTTCTTTTCTGCTCTGCAACGATGCCACCCCATCACATGGACAAGTTCTGGAAGATTCTGAAGCTGGAGTGGAGCCCCTGGATGCCACAATCTCCTCTGACTCCCCCAATCATGGTCACCACCCTCCCATTTCAATTTACCTATGCCTCCCTAAGTACAGAACCCCAAAGGTCTCTGGACAGCTCTGATGTCTGCAAGCACACCCCTGCCTCTGCTGGGCCATTTATAAACCATTAACCCCATAACCTCAGTTCATTCAGTTGGCTAAGACTCCCAGTCTGTAAATTAGGGCACTGACATGGCACAGCGCTGTAGGAGAAATAATATTGAAAGAATAAAACAATGATGTATCAGAATAGTCAACAATCAGGTGATGAGTGGAATGTTTAACAGATATCTTTATGAGACTGGACGGACATTAGAAGATCATTATAATCATCCACACGGATGTAGCATGAGATTTAAGCTACTGCAAGCATGCCTAGAACCTGGCATAGGTGTAGGAAAATATGTATAAGAATATATCCCTACGATAAGAAAATAGCACATAGACGGCAGAATAAGAGGGAACATTGGGAAGGAAATGTGAATATCTCGGGAACCAGTAAACCTTTAACTGTAATCTTTTTACCATCTGAAAGGACCGTCTTTATTCACGGTTTTGTTTCATTCTAAAAGCTTCGAAACTGACAGAGGTATCGCTCAAACGGCGAAACACCTTATAATTCATATATATTTATTTGCTAATTCTTACGAAAAGCAATGTGACTCAAGGGAAATATATAGACGCCCGGAAGTCTGGCGGACCAAGTACCATATGGCAGAGTATCCCCCAGCGTGGACGGATAGTTTTTGATCGCATCAGAAGAGGAGAAAATGGTAAAAAACCGGATCTTGTATATTTTCCCATGATCCATCAAAACCTTTTGATTCCAAGCTCGAATAAAACGGAACAAAGGAATGATCGATGATCTGGATCTCGGATCATAAGCATAAAGTGATTCAGAAGTCGGCGGATCAGTTAATTAATTGGGAAAGCTCTAGAACATTGGTAACGATGCAGCTTCACAAAAAGGGGTGAATTAGAGAACAGTCTAGAAAGTTCCTTTATAGCCGAGTGATTTCTAAAGATAACCGTTCGTAATGAAGGTGGTGTAGAGCATAGCTTTAGCACTGCAAGACCCCGCTGAGATGGGCCCAAAAGGGAAAGAAGTTTCTAGAACTATCTATAATACAAATGTAGCACATGTAACTAGTGCAAGGGGTGGGAGTAGAGAGGCCTCTGAAAAGCATAAAAGGGGACTGTTTCTGCCGCCTCTCAAACCCCAGGTAGAAATTTAATTCTGCTCACGAGTGGTTGGTTTGTTTGTTCCAAAAGATAAAAGCGAATATTAGTTGTTAGCTAATATAAAACTAACATGTCACTCTAAGGATGAGTGTCAGTTAGAAGCTGAACAAAAGTGTGATAGTGAGAATCAGTGAGAATTTGGTGGAGGGACTTGTTAATTGAATAATCTCTCAGCAATATTTGGTTATCACAGCAGAGGAGAAAAGTGAGGGATGCTGAACCTGCTAGATAACTAGCATGCACTCTAAGCGATAGAAAGAGCAGTTTGGTGACTCCTGTATTGAGTAACATTTATTGCGGAATTATTATTAGCAGTTTTCCTTGAGTAAATTATGAGGAAAATCAGGTCCTACTGTAAAGTGGTAAATATAGGTGTAATAGTGACTAGAAATTATAGTAAAGTGGATAAAAAATTTTATGGTAGACAATCTATATGTGAGAACGTTGGGGGTGTTTATGTTTAGAGAGTGAACGATTATATTTTTGGCAACCTAAACAGGGTGAGTACGCAAATCAGCACAAACTCTAACAACTCTAACATCATTATTGGAGGTAGGAAACTGGTTACGTGATGGAGCTGCACTCGTTGAGGGCTCCTGGCTGAGTCATTCTGACTTGTTCTGAATGTGGTCTTTGAGAGTACTTTTCACTGGCTGAGAGTACATGTGTTGTATGGCAGGCAGAGTTCTGTGCACTTGTTCAGAACTATGCAGATGAGTCTCTGACTGGACCTGGCTGTGAAGGAAACTCTGAGAGGCTGGTGGGAGTAGTCTAGTGAGAGATGGAAATGAGATTTGTAGTTGTCTAAGTTTGAGAAGCCTCTCCCTTGAACTGTGATGATGTTAACTTTTGGCTGGATGGATGAAAATTGTAAAAGCAAAAAAAGGAAAGTGGCTGTGGAGATGGGGCTGAGGGGCATGGGAAAATATTTGATAGGAAGAAAGTGGAAGGTGAGAAAGTTGGGAGAAGAGAGTGAGAAAGGTTAGAACTGTTGGGGAACTAAAGAATTGGAGGCAACAAGGTGAGAATGGGATAACTAGAGAAGACAAGAAGCAAAAATGTGAGAAGGTTTGGAGTTGGGAAGTGTGGAAGTGTGGAAGTGTGGAAGTAAAGGTTGGAAGTGAAGTTGAGAAAAGGACTTGAGAAGACAACAAGGTGAGATTGGAACTGGACAGCTAGACAACTAGACGAGGGAAGAAGCAAAAATGGGAAAGGGTGGAAGTAAAAAAAGTGAGAAGTGAAGTTTGAACTTGAACTTGAGAAGACAACAAGGTGAGAAGAGGACAAGGGAAGAAGCAAAAAGTGGATAAGTGGGTGAGTAGAGAACTGTGGAACTGTGGAGACCGGATAAG